TCTAAATACAACAGCAAAATAGCTATTAATAGTATGTAGTCATCGGACAATGATTTTGATAAGGATTTCAAGTAGCACCATTTCTGAAGATGATTAATCCATGCTAAAAAAAAAAGACTAACTTTCATGAAAAGAAAACCGTCTCGGCATAAGACTATATGAAAAATTTGAACTGATCGGTTGGTCATTAAGTAATGACGTCGATCGAACAACGGCAAAATGTCAAAGTTCAAACGATTAAACAATCTGATGACCCAAAAACAGTAATGAAAAAATGCGTGATCAATGCCGGTACATTATTTTTTAATTTTATTATTCTTTTTGTCGACACATTTTTATTTGAACTTTACACTTTTTAGTTTTTAAAGGCTATTTTTTGACGACCAAATCACATTTCTCCATGACAACAAAATAGCATTCAGTGAAACAATTGTTACAAAAAATTGAAAACAACATATATAAACTGCATGCGACCAAAGAGCTTTTCTGGATTTAAGTTCATCAGGTTTGTCAATGATAAATCATGTCAGTACCGAAGTACTGACTACTGAGCTGTTGGTACCATCGGTATCGACCCAGTGCTGTAAAAAACAATTTTAGATTTACTTTCTTTTTCACATTCACAAATGTGTACATGTATTAAATAATAGATTGAAATAAAAAGATTTTCTCGGTCAATCAAATCTGGTATAACAAATCCTATGATAAATGAGGATATCAATGATGACAACATGCAGTGCAGAATAAACTTCTCATTTCATAGACTGATATTATCTCTGCTTTTATGGATATTTTAATGTTCAATCGTTATCTAGGTTAACTTTGTTGTCTTTGTTGTTTCTGATATTATTTGATATTTGATTTTCATCTCTGCTTTTTCGGAATTTTTAACCTAAGCATTAGCATTTGAAGATCAATTCCAGGAATAGCTTCGCATGGAGCTAATATTCAGATAAAGTTTGACTTAAATTTACCACTTCTGGTGAAGGCATGCATACATGTACAACCAGAATTCAAGGCTTGTGCATTGACATCAATTTATAAAATATAGATTCTACCACTGAATCGAGTGTCATAAAACACGAGTCTTGACGAGCATTTTAAATATTAAAGATTTAAATGTCGAGAGTTGAAAAAATCGTATCGCACGAGATACGTGCATCTGTTTCTCTCATGATGTAAGCAAAATTTCTTTTTAATTTTCATGTATCTGCAAAAAAAAAGATTGTGTTCTTTCTATGTTACGTAATGTTACATGGTCGCTTTTTTAGTGACATCATAATAGCACAATTTGAAGGAAGCAACAAAAAAATTACTTCAGAATTGAGTATTGAGTAATGAAGAACCACACGTTGGTTTTAAAAAAACCATAAACAGGTCGATGAATGAACAAGAGATCCATACTTTTACTTTATATTTTTCAGTGAATACATTATAAATAAAATAAATAGATAAAAACTGAGATTCCAACTCTCCAAAGAACAGTTTACCTTATGTACATCCTTTTAAAATATTTATTCTTTTATTCCTCGTCCATTTTGTTTTAATTAATCTATTTTTTTTTTTGGTTTCTCCTAAAATGTTTGGGCAGAAATGTTCCTAATGAAAAAAGGTTTTTGCATAATTGGTTCTTGGTCTTCCATGATAAGTATAATTCGGACCAGTAGATTTAGACGACTGACGGCACAATGCCGACCGCCAATAAAAACTTGTTACAATTCCTACTGATGGTTGTTTGGTGTTAACAAAGGTTTTTTTTTATAATCTGCACAATAAAATTTTATACCGAATACTCTTGGCATTGACGTAGAACTGTGTAATTAGAAAACCTCGTGTTGTTTCCGATTTCAAGTAAGTTACGATTTATATCCACTGTTATTTGTACTTAACAAATGTAAATTATTCGAACGATGTGCGCGAAATGATATATGAATGTTTTTATTGGGTAATAATCTTCGTGAACTGATATTAAAAAGACATCTATAGAACATTATAAGAATAAGGTCATATATTGGTGTCTAGGAATATCTGCTATTTTAATTAGGATAATAGTTTTGCTACCAATTTATGATTAATATCTCATATGCTTCGAGTAGATTGTACTTTTGATACGTAGAACAATTCCTTGTGTTGATTTGAAATTAAAGTTTGCCAACCAATAAGTCCGTCTGTTCTACAAGCATTTATGACAACCCTGATATTGTTCATCAGAACAGCTAGAAAGATAAATGTTAATATAAATGTGGTGAACCTAGTGCTGGTGAGAATAAATAATTAAACTGCATGGAAATATCTTTTTTATCTTTAGTTCCTTAAATATTGAAAAGCTTCAGTAAGATCGACAGATAAAGTAAAGTTAGAAGATAGGATAGGATATTTTCATACAATATTCCAAATTAAACTATAAAATGTTTTTTCCCCGCATCTGATGACTACATTTGATGATATCCCTTAAAGCTGGGGTCACACATTCACGATTTTTACTGCCGTCCTTGATAGGACCATTCACGATTAAAATTTTTAAAAGATTTGATCAAGATCCTGTGAATCGTGGTTGGAAATTTAAACTTTAATTAAAATTTGAAAAAACATTTATTTAATCACGACAACAATCAGATATTGTTCAGAAAACGTCCAAATTAAGCAGATTCCGAGCATATCTCATATCTTTTCGTGTAAATTGGAAGAGACGTTCACATTGAGGAGTAAACTTCATGCAATATCGTCATTGCTATTATTTCAAAAGTAATATTATTATCATGATTACATGAACAATGGTATGTCCATTAGTTAATTCATCACTGAAGATAACGCATTTGCGATCTTGTTTGTCTAAATAAACGGCTTCTCATTTACAGGTGAATACCGTTCTATTCTTTTTTCAAATGTATTTTCATAGAAGCGTTCACACAGTGCCGATTATGGATCCCGTTTGAAATCGACAATGGTCCGAAGCGGTCGGCCATGCACTCCCGATAGTTAGGTGCGTCCCGTTACATTCGGGAAAAGCAGCTGATTTTGTCAAGTCGGATAATAATCGTGAATATGTCGAGACAGATTCTGATGTATCGGACCAAAATCGTAATAATGTCCTGTGTTGTCTGGAGGGTGTTCCGTGGAACGGGCATGATTTGAAGAAATTTTCTTGCCGATCAAGTCCAGATTGCGTCTAGATCTTGCCGAATGTCTTCCGTCTACGTAGGTTCACTGTCTGGTCACTTCTGATCTCTGTCGGATCGCAATCGTGAGAACGAGATGCTATCAGGACAGATTCCGTCTTTTTTTACCATGCGAAAGATACCAATGGAATCAGAATCGGATTGAGAACGGGATAATCGGGAGGCTTTCTGAACAATATCTGATTGTTGTCGTGATTAAATTAATATTTTAACAAATTTGGATAAAAGTTTGATATTCCAACCATGAATTATAGGATCTTGATCCGACTTTTGACAAATTTTAATCGGAAAAATGGTCCTATATTAAGAACGGCAATAAAAATCATGAATGAGTGACTGAGGCTTAAAGTGTAAGTGTCTGTTTGGTTTGCTATTTGGACATTTCATACCAGTTTTGCTTGAATTATATATAGCCTTAAGCTTATGATTATCAGTTAATGCATGCTTATAAGAGAAACTATTTTTTAAAGTGGTCCTATATTAATCTTTTTGAAATTCCTTAAACTATAAGCTATCTAAAGAATCTTTGGCTTTTGTATATTTTCTTAAGTAGTTTTGCAATAATTTAACAAAGTATGTTATCTTTTTAAAAAAAGTCTTTATTATTAGAAGTTTAATGAAAGCAAGCTAAAATAGTTAACCTACTGATTTAAAAATCATGCCGTCCTACACTCCGATATCAGTTGTTGTACTTCACAAAAACTATTTCATACAGCGACATCATATACAGTATGGGAACCTTACTATCTTTTCACATATTTAGACTTTATTTTATGTGACTGTATTTCAAATTCTCTTGTAATCCTTGACAAAATAAATACGAAAAAAGGTGAAATAAAAAGCTGCCAGGTTCATAATATTGTCGAAGCCCACCTCTAGTATCCCTTTATGGCTTCCGTACTAGTAACATGGTACAGGATAGATTTTTCATTTTTATGTAATTTTAGAAAATACTTCTACCCATCCGTATCAAATGACTAACACTTCAATCACCCTACCGAATGCTGTAATGTTTATTTATTTGATAAACTATTCATTTTTGTTATTTCTAGCAAAAAAAATGTCGTTGTACAATTCCAAAAAAATAATTATCTACGGCAAGTCGGATAACGAATAATATATACATGTATTGAAAACAAATTAGGTAAAGGCTGTCTGTTTTATACCATACTTTTATTATCTTTCACAGTTTCTCAGTGTTATATCGCACTTAACTCGTGATAATAGTCTTCTAGTGAAGAATTTCAGCAGTGATCTATATTGGATGTGAATAAGAAGATGAGAGCTTTATACATAATACGATTTACTTATAAATCCACAGAATAATTGTAACAGTTCTTCAGGTCCCTGAGCGGCCCATAATTACAAGTTTTTTAAAAATCTACAAATAAATCCAATTCGGGGAAGTAATTACTCGACTAATAATTTTATTATTGGGTGATTGGAGAAATTACATTTTCGCTCGAACTATCTGTTAGTTTGATATTATAAAAATGTAAAGAACTGCAGGCGCTTTCCGTTAGAGCTTTTTTCCTCTATTGATTCAATCAGCCTGCTATATGTAAAGAATAGTATCAGAGCTATTCACAATTCTTGTTAATTTCAAGGCGTGGGAAGCAAAGAACATATTTTAATGACGAGGCAAACAAAAACTTTGAGTGACGTATAAAAGTTCAAAGTGGTTCATCATTATGCAGAGAAGTGTTATACAATTCCGAAAGTAGTTCTGGATAACAATAGTTAGTAGAAAGAACACAACATCGAACAGTCCGTATTGTTGGTACTATAGCATCTAATAAGATAACTATCACAAATTTTATCATGGAATGGAATAGAACAGGACCGCTGGTCAACTCGACAATATCTGACCTATACCCGGTACCAGTTGGTATTATCGCTTTGTTGGCAATTTTATACGGGAGCATTTCTGTCGCTGCTATCATTGGAAATAGTTTGGTAATAAGTGTCATCATCATTAATAAAAAGATGCAAACAGTAACTAATATTTTTATTGCAAATTTAGCATTTGCTGACGTCATTTTGGGCATGTTCACCATTCCATTTCAATTCCAAGCGGCTTTATTGCAGAGATGGGTTGTCGCCGATTTTATGTGTTGGGTTGCACCTTTTGTCAAAGACTTGTCCGTAAACATAAGTATTTTCACCTTAACGTGTATTGCCATAGATAGATATATCGCTGTACTGTATCCATTGAAAGCCGGTTTTAAGAAATCTGTTGCCGCTGTGATTTTAGTTTTTATATGGGTTTTTGGGACAGTTTCAAGCATACCTCAAGCACTGTATATGAAAGTTACTCAAGTTCCAGAGAACGCAACTGGAAAAACAAAACCTTTCTGTCGTCCGTTTTTTCCGCATAAAGATTTTGGAAGATACTATTTTGTGTATCTTCTATGCATACAATACATATTACCACTGATAATTATTAACTTCTCCTACATAAGAATCGCATACAGAATATGGGGAACAAAAGCACCTGGAGATTATATAAATAGAAGGGATGACATTCGTGCCAGGAACCGTAAGAAGGTAAGAAGATTTTTATGGTTTACAATGTTTAAATATATTGTTTGTACTATTAAACGATTTCAATATTGTTGATATTTGTATTTTCAGAGACCAACAACAACCAATAAACATTGTGAAGTGAAATTTACCTGAATTATAGATTTCTTCAAAGATGTTTTGTACCTCTGTTATTGCTTTGTTAACGATGAAGCTTATAGATTTTTTTTTATTTATACTCATTTTGTTTTAACATTGCAATACAAAATAAATACTATTTTTAACTGTTGAAAAATGTCGACTTATTCTAAAATATGAAAACGTTGCAAAAAATATGGGATGCTGGTCTATTTCAATTATTATATCAAGCTGTTTGGAATTTTAAAATTCGTGCTTTGAATCAATTTTGTTTTAGGAAACATGACAAAATTTTGCGATGTATCTACTTTCTTCGCTTTTTCCTTTCAAAGTAGAGCTATTTATTTCCTCTTAGGTGATTTAAATCATGTTGGTTCAAGATGTCTTGTTAAACAAACTTTTACAAAAACATTTAAAATGTGTTATCCGTAATGGAACAGCAGCTTTAAAACTCCAAAAATTACAAAATAAGACTCGAAAATAATAAAATAAAACTCGAACATAACAAAATAAAACTAGAAAATAACGGTAAAACAAACTCTAAATTAACGGTATTTAATAAAGCAAAAGCACAAGTACAAATAAAAAAAATAATAAACATATTATGTACTTTAAGTTTTCTTTCAAAAACTCAGAGCATTATTTAATACGGCACACTATTGTTTATCATATGATAAAAAAGGTGAAGTTTTTGTCAATACATTAGTTTGATTACTGACAATCAAGTTTCACTATGCTTCGTAGGTTTCCCGATAAACACTCAGATACTGAGGAAAGTGATAAAACATCTTTATTATCTGAATTTTGTGATTTCTATATGTTCTGCAAGTTACGTGTAGACAAATGATCTTTACATTCAGTGGATAATCTTTCAGCAAGGACGAGATTTTTAATGTATAGAAATGAAACTTACTATATAATAGACAGACCCAATGTGACAGACGAACTTAAAATGTTATTTTATTATGTACCTTCAATTTTGCATTAATGATGTCATCGTTTAGTTGCTATGTACTTATGAGCACACATTGATATTTCAATCTTAGTTCAATCTTCGAATATTTGATTAAAGACCAAAATACCCCATTACAAAAATTAACTCTGAATTTAACCCCACGTAACATTTTTCTCTCTCACTTATTATTAGGGTTAACAAAAGAAACAAAATACAAATAAAAAATAACAAAAAAAAAACACACAAAAAAAACAATGTAAAAAGCAAAAAAAAAATTAATGAAAAATGGACAGTTTAACAAAACATGTTTTTCATCTTCAACGTCATTAGTACAATTAAAACATATTCTATTTTCTATATAAACGTTTTCGTAAGGACCAGTTTCAATTCTGATGGGCGCTACACCACATCTCAATTTTGCTAAAGCACTCCTGTATCTACCGGGTATATAAAAAAAATCAGATAATTTTCTGCACCATTTAAATTTTTGAACATTCTATCTGAAAGTAATTTATTTTTATCATTTGATGTAATTTTGTCATACCATTCTTCTTTAAATTTTTCAAAAGATACATTTTCAATATTCTTAATTGAAACCTTGTTCATAATAACATCTTTAAACATATTTTTCACCCTAAATTGTTAATTTGTTTACTCTTTTATAGGGATAGAAAGAAGTAGGTTCCCATAAATTGGTTTCACTCATGGGGTCAAAATGTTAAAAAAAATTCATTAAACTCATAGAAATTTGAATCTAAACAAGACTGAACAATACTACTGGAAGCTTTTATCAACAATTTTTCACACATCCATAATATCAAAAAAGAGACAGAAGATGCCTTGGTGACAATCAAAACTCATAAGTCGAAAAGAAACTGACAACGCCATGGCAAAAAAAAAACGATAGATGACGAAAAGACAAAATGATTTTCATTGCTATTCGTAGCTGTAAATGACCAAAATATACAAATTTTACATCTAATTGTAAATTTTTTGCATCGGGGGACATTTAAAACCATTATGATTTGTTTTGTATCTTCCAATCAACACATAGATTTATCTCCAACGAAATTTTGGTTTTGTTTAGAATATATGTCATTCTCGTTCTTTCAAAAGTTAAAAGTATGATAAATCTAACAAATAACATCTGAAAAAAACTGAGGTCTTGTCATTAGAATTTAGAAATGAACCAAGGCTTTACCCAAAAAGAAATTATGTTACAACTAGCCGGTGTACTTTACAAAGACGATAATATGTGTAAAAATCTTTTTGGGTAAGGCTCATATCTATTTTGTCCAAAAAGTATTTGTAAAATGGCCATTTAGGTCAAATATATCAATTTCAACACATGTACGACAAAAAAAAAAGGTGACCTTTCTTCACTAAAATGTCCAGATCATATATCAACCTATTTATTTATCAATGAAAATAACCTAATTTTGGATGGCTTCAAAAATTTAAGTATCTATACAATTTCAGGTGGAACTATGTATAGCTCTTATCATACCCTATCCTTTAACAAAGTCTGTTAAAATTGCAGTTTTGAGTCATTTCTATAACTTTCAAATTATGCTGTATGTTCAGAAATACGACAAAAGGGTATTACATCATAAAAAAGGGAAGCGATGGTATTGTAAATTTGAGTTAAGATGGAAGAACTTTTTAAAAATTGTCCTTGAGTAAAGTTGATTCAGGGAAAATTGACCAAAATTTGCCTTGTAAGTTGTAATGGAACGCATCGGTCTCAATTATTTTAATATATAGTAAATGTTAATAGGATACACATGTGCAAAAAGAATCTAGACAATGATCCTTTAACTATATATTAATTAACATTTTTTTTTCATCTTATTTTGAATATCATGCAATCATTAAATACATATACAGGCAATTTTAGGAAAATCAGCTATTATGGTAATTTGGTAAAAGCCAATGCAGTGCCTGAACAGTTTCACACTTAAAAGTTTTCTTCTGATTGGCTTCTAGGCTTTTGATACTTTGAAAGTGATGATATTAGCTAAACTTTGTTGACATTAATTCCTTTCAAAAAAAGCTGTGGCTTGTGAGTGTAAAAAACAAAACCTACCTTTACTTCTGATAAGTTTTGTATAATAATGGCTATTGGAGATTTTATTTTTTGTTTGGTGAGAGCTTTTTACCCAAGCTAGAATGAATATTTAAACAGGAAATACATTGTACTGTAAATTTCTTTCACCATTCGCTTTGGGGATGCAGACAACACATCCTCTAAGCTCCGACTACTCACGTGAACTTACTATTGACTATATTGACAACTGCTGTACTGACTATTGTGATAAGCTCACAGGCTCACGTGAACATACTGTTGGATATTAACAACAACTGTACCGAATAAACGACAATGAAACGCATTTAATGTATAATAATTTTGAAATAATCTATTCTAACTCTATGCAGAAATAAAGGAATTTTAATCACTAAAAGAACAGTCTGAAAGAATGTAAGATAATATATATAACGCGTAAGATTTCTATATCAGCAGAATTCAGAGCTTAAACACTTCTGCTGGTCTGAATGTTCGTCATTCTCTTATATTTTAATCATAAAAAAATAAAAAAAGAAGGAAAAGTGGAGTTGGTTATACTTTTATTACACTAAATGTTGTTGTTAATGCTGCTATCTAGTCTCTTTATTAGTAAAGCATAACGTCACATTACCCAAATTGCAACGAGTACCCAATATGCACCCATTTAGCAAAAAACAAAAGCAGCGGAAATCTTATAGGTTTTCTTACAGAATTAAATAAAATCATGTTTTCATAATTTGCAATCATGTTCGTCTTTCAACACAGCTAAACATACATAAATATACACATTATATATCAATAGATGAAGCAGCAGTGAAAAAAATAAAATTTACCTTTCATAAATGTGCAATTAAAATATGTTACGGACAGCAATTTCATACAAAATGCAAAGAAAATATGAACTATTGTCAAATTGTTCTAAAAATGTGGAGAAATAAAACAAAACATCATTTTGTTCGATTTTTAAGGAAGTGAAGTTAAGCATGGGTGCAATTTGGGTACTACTCATTACAGAATGTTGGGTCGTTTGGAGGTCTATTCAAATCCTTTTTTCTATGATTCAGTAGAGAATGAAAATTAAATTAGTAAAAGTATATAGAAAAATGAGGATAAATCTACAAAATAAACATAGAATTGAAACCTTTGTTTGTTTCTTGAATAAATGTAGGTGCAAAAACTGTCAAAATAGGTGCAATTTCGGTACCCTCGCTTTACCTTCACATCTTCTTTTATTCAGCCTATAATGGTATTAAACCAAAATGTGTCATACAAAGAAAAAAGAAGTCAGCTTATGAGTTTGATATTTCTAGTCAGAAGCTTGATCATATGTGATTTGGTGCACATTTTCTTTCGTCAAATACACAAACGACCTATCAAATTGGCATGAACGAAATAAATATTTCACCATTAACACATGGACCAACTAAGAACAACGAGTCAATTTTTAAGATGAATAAATTGTACACATTCCTATAAAGTTTTACTTTCTTGTAAGCCATCCAGGTTTTCATTTTTTTTTGCAGAATCTAAGGAGTCAATTAAGACTATTCGTCATGTTTTTGTGTTCTCTCATTTTCAACGACGAATAAAAAAAGGTTTAATGCATCCTATATTTTAACAATGTGTCTGTACTTACGTATCATGACAGTTTGCTTTTTTTTCCACATTTGAGGAAACTGTTCAGTTTTCACAGTCCGATTATATTCATATTTTATTCAGACTACGCACAGGTTTAAATTATGTGATTTTGATATATATTTTAAAAGTTATGAATAATAATTAATTTATCTCTAAATATTCACCAATTGCTCGAATACAAAGCATCCTAATGGGGCTTTTAAAGATGACAAAATATAATCCAAGGTG